TATATATATATATATATATATATATATATATATATATATATATATCCCGCCTGCATTTAATTTTTATTTTTAACATCAATCGCCAACGTATTGAATACATGACTTGCTTTAATATACATATGCAAGATAAATATTAACGAATATTAAATACTCAATATATAAATAATTGTAAATAGGGATAATCAAATCAACACACTTGCTTTATTAATAATTCTTTTGTTCTTTTCTTTTTGGGCGTTAGAAATTTTGATGGGATTTGATACTTTTAAAAGAATGGAAAAGAAGTTTTCTTTCAACAAATATCACAGTAATATTTTCAATAATGCTGTTTGTTTATTAATAGAAATTTAAATTTTGATTTTGCACAATAAGCAAGGCTAAACAAAAATGAAAAGCGTTGTAAAACGTTTTAAAAAACAATTCGTGACCCAAAAAGCCTTGTTAAACGTAAAAGAGCAGCACTTGCAAAATTTTAAGATCGGTATAGTTGTGAATAATTTAGTATCTTTAATTGAAAACATAATCAATTATAAGTAATCACGGACCGACATTCGGCGATTTTATTTAGATCAATATTTCTTGTTGTACGAAATGATACAACAAGTACAGATTGCTTGATCAGAGATTCATGAAACTATATAATCGTTGTCAAATAATGTCATTGTCAATCATTGTCTAATCATTTGTCAAATAATGTCGGACCATAAATGCTGGCCTGAATTTCGACTTCGTGAATGTCTCCTTATCTACGGAGATTTCGCGAAACGGACGTCGAAAAAATTCCACGTAATGAATAATTTGCAACACCTGTAGATACACATCGCTGCTTGCGTTTCGGCGTTCTGCGTCCCAGTTTCCCCATTTCTAATATTTCGTTGCGCGCACAGGGACACTCATGGACACTCGCGATCACGTATGATTCAATCGGAGAAATGCGTGTCGTAATTAACGTGATGCCGACGAGAGCCCGATTTTCGATACTTCATTAACCGACGAAATATTTTAATCATCCGACGGATATGGTAAACAGCAAACACGTGCTACACGTGTGCGACGACGCGAGACGTAATGAATCAGTCGCAGAGACAAGTGTGCGACGTGCGAGAGTATCAAAACAATCAGCAAAGTCACCTTTCCTGCCAATCGCCAACCGTCGCCACCCAAACAATGACGAGCATATTCGGTGGCCGAGAAATCGCGGCAATAAACACTCGCGGGAACATTCCGGATATACGATGTGATCAAATTATCGAGTTATTGAGACGATTGATACTCGACAGTCGTAAATTAATAGTCATTAATTAACGGAATGTTTCCGATCGAGAATTCTATCTTTCTTGCGTGGCGTCATCGCGATGGAACTAATTTTAGGAGGACGCAGAATGCAAAAGCATTCAACGATGGTAATTTTCACCAGTTTCGAATCCTCTTGAAAATCTCCAACGTCAATAAAAATAATAATAAAGAGATGAAAGGAGATTTGTTATTTATTGATTTGCTCATTCGTTTTCAATGAATTGCTTAATATTTGCTTGTCGCGATAGACTCTATCAATTAAGCAAGTTATACAATTAATACACTAATTATTAAAGTTGAAAATTAAAGTTAAGTTGAATATATAAAATAATGATGAGATGAATAAATGCAGATGGACTATTGATATATAAAATTAAATATTAAATAATTTTTTAATAGATTTTTCTCTCTTTAAGTTTCAACAAAATAGGTTGAACAAACTCTCGTATCAAATATTCTGTATAGTGTTATACCTCGACATTTTTTATTAATCCTTCAAGTTTAACGAAACATTCAAGGTTGAAGTGAAACCAAAATTTCGACTCGGAAGGTTGCCGCGTTCCTCGCCAACGATCCTCAGTCTTACGCGAAAGACGAAAAAAGGTGAAACTCTATCGATTCGGAGATACCTGGACGCAGTTAGCGTCGGCGGAAGGCGCGTGCGGCTTGATATCGTAAAGCGCGCTCGTTGAAATCTCTCGTGCGATTTCCTTACTTACTTATTTGCTCGCTCACTTCATTGCCGGCCTCGCGTCCTGGTTGTCTATTTGCAGCGACGTGTCAGCTTCGTAAAGTGGCACGGGCTCCTCAATGGCCTTTTGCGGAACAATCGAAGCCAAGTCTCGGCGAACGTCTCGGCGTAACAAAGACGACGAAAGTGGTTCGAGTCTACCTCTGACGGAACGCAGCTTACGGCCATCGAGTCTAATGGGAGTTTCTCATCGCGTCAAACTCCGCCGGCGACTTATCCGTATCGAGTTGTCAGATCGCGACCGGGGCACCGATAGAGGAGCGGACATACCGAAGGCGAAGTAACCGAAAACCGATAAGACGAAATACGTAATTCGCGACACGGCACGAAAAGAGATTTCAGCATTGCAGCATTCGCGACGTTCCATCCTCCTCCCGCAATTGCGTGTGCATGATCGATAATTTTGCAATATTTGGAAGCGACATGAATTTAAGACGCGCGAGGGGTAAGCTTCAGCAGAGTGAAAATCTGAAAAATTCTCTAATCCGGCAAATGAGCCGCACGTGAATTCACTCGTTGCACAGAGTCGTGCCCGCGGCACGATCGATATTTGCTACTTGCAACACAATGGCTGGGAAATACTCTCCCCGGCTGAAACTATTCGTAATAATGTAACCTGCCGATTTTATTGCACGCGCCACTTTCGGATTTACATCGGTTTTCGGCGCGTCCATTTATTGCGAGGTTATTTCCCGCCCGGGTATCGCGGGCGCGCAAAAATGCGGAAAAGGTGGGACAGGGGGATTTCAGGAGGAGCGAAAAAAAGCGCAGATGGGAACGGGGCGAGGGTGGGCGAGCGTGCGAGATTCGCGCGTAAAACCAAATATTTATCGCGGGAGCGGAGGCACGGCGTATTTGAGCGCGGCGAATATAACGCGGCGGAGGTGGTAAAGCGGAAACATAGAAAGAGCTAGCGAAAGAGACGGAAAAAGGGGGACGGACGGGCACACACCGCCTTCCTAGAATCCTCGTTATCCGGTCGAGCGGCGGCGGCGGCGACGGCGGCGGCGGTCGTAACCGGCGGTAGCCACGAAATATCCGAAGAAAAACACGTTTCCAAGTCCGAATCGATAGCAACAATGCCGTAGCGAGAGAGCGCGCGAGAGGCTTGGCTCTCCGATGGAAGTGAGGCTTTAGGGTACGCCGGAGGGTTGCTTGAGGGAACGTAAGGGGGAGAGAGAAAGAGTCGGGGCGGGCGTATGAGGGAAGCGGGCTGGGGCGCAAGGGGTGAAAAGCAGAGAGGGAGAGCTAGACCAGGAGGTGGAAACGAGGAGGAGGCGGCAGCCTTATTGGTACCGGGGGTAGGGGGTTGAGTTTTCCTGAGGGCCGAGGGCGAGAGGAAGATAGAGAGAGAAAGAGGAGAGACAGAGAGAAAGAGAGGGATAGCAAGAGAAGAAGCGAGGTACACGAGAGAGAGAGAGAGAGAGAGAAAACGGTCAGAGTGGAGGGAAAGAGGAAACGAAGGAGATAGCTAGCTAGGGGGAGCGTAGAAGTTGATGGAACGAGGTCGCTACAACGCTGGCAACAGCCGGATGAGTAAAGACTGCATTACCTATGGTACCTGCTCTCCGAGAAACGATCCTCGCTCGGCGAGAGTGCAGGTGAGTCGGCGGCGCTGCCTCCTCTCTCCTTTGTTAAAGGCAACACGATCATTTCGTCCTCTTTGTTCGCGATATTAAAGTACGTCAGACGTCGAAGCGACTGCTTCTATCTACGCGGGGGCGACGGCTGAGAGAGAAGATACGAGGAAGTGAGGTTGAGGTGTCAAATGCGTTCGCTGTTCACGTATGGAACGGAAGATCGACCGCTTCATCTCGATGTCACCCTTTCCCTCCTTAATCGATCGATTCGATCGAACTTTCTTGTGTGTGTGTGTGTGTGTGTGTGTGTGTGTGTGTGTGTGTGTGTGTGTGTGTGTGTAAGAGAGAGAGAGCACTTCGAGCGCTGATCATACGAACCTAACGCGTGCGACAAACGCTAATAATACACACAGAGAAATACATGCTACATTCAAGTAAAAATATTACTTGTTTCATAAGTTTATACATTCGCAAATCTATCACATAAGTTCATCATAAGCACCAAATTTATCCTAAATACATTCTGAATCCTACCAAGTTTACCATTCCACTCAAGAATATCAAATGAAACAAAAACTTAGGTTTGCTGTATAGAGCAGAATCGACTTTTTGTTCGACAAAGAGATAAATTCCTCTTTTGAGTATACATTAAAATGAACTTTTCTCAGATTCGTAATACGAATGTTTTAAGACTGTGATACGAAGAAAATATTCTTTGTTGAAGTTTACCATTACTTAAAAGAAGTAAATTGAGTAATCGCTTTTCCTTGTGATAGAATGATATTTTTCTGTGTGTAAGCGAATCGAGTCAATGGGATAAAAAGGACATGGATTTGGGTACCTGTTAATTTCTCCTGTACATGTCGTCTCGTATAGACTCGGTGCGGACGACGGATCAAGTTTATAGATTGGTGTCGTAAGGACAGCGAATAATCGCTGTGCATTCTTGTAGTCTTGTCGCTTGCCGAAGCGCTACACCCGACCTGCTTGAATGATACATAATACTAATTAGGCATGATAAAAAGAGTGAATACAGCAAACATACAGAGGTAAGAAGAGGTGGGGATCGAAAATTGAAATACTTCGGAGTGGAGGAAAGAAGAGTGAGCAAGTGTGAGCATTTTCGGGATATGTTTCGGATTAAACACACATATAAATACACACGCGATTCTCTCGAATATTTCAACTTTATATTTTTCCCACATCTGGCTGGTGCGTGATTTTTAAATATAATATTAATAATTAATACAATAATAATTAATTATAGTAATAATAATAATAATAATAGCAATAAGATTGTGATAAAAATAATTACCTACTGATCATGATAGTAAAATATAACGCAACAATGATGATACAGTGATAAAAGAACAATCGCTCGATAATAATATTAATCACGCGTTCTATCCAGTATAGCTCGTACGCAATCTATGGTACAACGATTATGTACAAAATAATATATCGAGACGCGCTCTCGAGGATTTTTGCAACTTTCGGTCTCTACTTTCACGACGATATTATCGAACTTCTAGTAAAAACATTTTCTTTCTGTGCAAGCACACCTTAAGGCCTATCGCGTGTCATCTCGGCGTGTCCTCTCTTCAATCCTCGCCCTTTATCTCTCCCTTTTACCTCTCCTCCGGTGTCTAAACGACGCTATATCGTACACGAAGAACGAGCTACTTTGAGTAATATCGTAGACGAGGCTAGGCTACGTACACAATCAAATACGAAAATGGGTTTCACCGCACGAGGACCGCATCGCGGACCCCGCCGAAACGATCGACTCGAAATCACGATCAATTCGCATCACAACGATCACTCTGTAGCCCTGCTCTCCGGCTCGAGAGCTCCAAGTGTATGATACTGCCTTTGGTATACAACCGGCGTCGAGTCCGGCGATCGCTCAACTGAACAAGTTATTTCGCGGACCCATCGGAGAATCGCCCGCGCGATTAATTTCCAAGAAACAAGGGAGAAACGTCAACGTGCTCTCGCGTTTGTCGTCGAATCGCCACGTTCTCCGATCGGATTTCGTTTTCCTCTTTTACCGACAAATTTGTACGAGCCGTCTAACATTAAAGACTTAACATCACGCATATTTGGGAAAAGGTAAATTGAGTCCGAAAGAAAATGGCTCGCTTTAGATCCAGACTGAGAAAAAAAAGTCGAAGACAATTTATCCCCTTATAAAGTAAATGGAAAAAAAAATTAAACTACGAATAATGAGGGAAAGAGGAGAAAGAAAGAATAATTTTGTCTAAAATGTAAAGTCTAATGCAATCATTAACGATCCACGTAGCCTTAATTCGAAGGTTATTCCCCCGTCGGGAATAACGAGCTCGATTACGCGGCCGCGCCGCGATAACGCCAAAAAGTCGCGGCATCGATCGCGCCAATAATACGATAGTTGATACAATGTAACGAGGGAAGCTGACGCGCGAATAACACCGGATCGACCGGTTTCGCGAGACGCAACGAGACGAAACGATACGAGAGATGAGACGGGACGGGTCGCGGACGCGCGACTCCGATATCCCGCGTTGCGTGTAATTACGCGCGATAACATTATTACGATTACAAGGTAGGATGAGACGCCGGCTAGATTCAGCGGCCCTTTTCCCGTCAATGAGACGTTACCTGATCGCGCATTAACCGACATTACTCCCGAGATTACGCGCGAAAACAAAATCCGCCGCGCGGACAAACAGACGAGAGACACTCGCTCGTCCATTGCGGTGCGAGCGCTCTCACCGCGGAAAATTTTTCATTTTCCACCGACATACACGCCTATTGATTGCAAACGCGGCTCTCCTCCTGTTAGAACAATGCCCGTTTGTACATTCTGAGAGAAAAAGGAATGGTTGATCTAACAAGTGGAATTTAATTAAAGAAATGATCTTCTTGATCATTGATAAAATAATTAGTGGCAATTATTTCTCTATGTATATATATATATATATATATATATATATATATATATATATATATATATTAGTTACAAATACCAGACATTTTTTCTCAGTGTATTTTAACGATCGATATTTTGCCGACGCACACTTATCGATTTGTCCTGCTGAACTGTTTTTTGCGACTCGCTGCTCAAAACTGATGAGTGACCGGCGAAATTTGAACAGGAAGACGAGACGCGCATTGCTCCGTCCTGCGCTCTCATGCGCGCGTTCACCGCGGAAAATTTTCATTTTCCGCCAACATCCACGATGGATACATCCCGATCGATCGTTCCCTCTATTGAAACAATGCCCATTTATATTCTAACGATCGACCCGACACTATCGATTTGCCTCGTGGATCTCTTTTTTCTGCTGCTCAAACTGATGAGCGGCTGGCAAAATTCTGCGCGCGGAAAACAAGACGAGGCATTTCTCCGTCCTTTGCTCTCGCGCGCGTGCGCGCCGTGGAAAATTTTTATCTCTTCCGCCGACGTCCACGCGATAGGTACATCCAGATCGATCGCGATTCCCTCCGTTCAAACAATGCCCATTTGTATTCTAACAATCGACCCGACGCATATTTATCGATCTGCCCCGCGGAACTTTTTTTTCCTTGCGACTCACTGCTCACAAAACTAGTGAGCGACTGGACGTTTCCGCGGAGAGCGAAGGAGTATGAGGTCGCCGAGCAACCTACCTGCGAAGAAATTTCTAATTTCTGTCCATTCTTGGACTGGCCGTAATTAGCGGAACGCGACAAGACAACTGCCATCGTCACAGGGTCCCGAATCCGTTGTCGAATCCATCGGATGACACTCGGAAACGAGAGCTCGGTTATCTTCCTATCAGCCGTCCTCTCTCGTTCCTAAAACCCCTTTCTCTCTCCCTCTCTCTCTCTCTCTCTCTCTCTCTCTCTCTCTCTCTCTCTTTCGTCCCCCTCCTCGTTCTCTTTCGCTCTCCGCGTCCCTTTCTGACCGGCTCGTTGAATATTCAAGACCTTCGCGGTGTCGCCGCGCGGACTGTGTCGCTTTTGCCCTTCCCCACCTCCTGGCACACACATACACACACACACACACACACACACACACACACGGATGAATCGATCGGCCGAGTTTTCGCCGGCCGGATCGCGCGATCCCGCTCGCAACGGATCCCTAAATATCGGACATAGGAAGCGCCGCGCGCGAATCCCTGACACATCGACCCGTATTTCGACAGACTCGGGAATTATTCCGCCCGCTTGGCTCGTCTATATCGGGCGCCGGCCGACGTCGGACGCAAGCAACCGGGCCGAGCCGCGCGGATGAAATGTGTGACACGAGCACGACGACAATAATCGATCCCGTCCGGTTCAATATGTAATTGCGTCTATCTGTCGCTTCGCTCACGCTCGGGAAGACGAGCCCGCGGGCTGTGAGTCGCCGGGTCGCCGCAAACGCTCGCGTCACTCGGACATATATATTTCGAGGGAGCGAGTTATAGCCGTGGAATTAACAGCCGCGACCTCCCGACCCACGCGGCGCAGGAGACTTCGAGTCGCGATCGTGTGAGCGAGAGAACGGTGGGAATTTCTTTTCTCTTTTCCGCGCGGCTTCTTCGAGGTTTCTCCGCGAGGTGCCAAGGCTCGAGCGGGACGAGCGCGCATTGCTCCGTCGCGCTTTTCCGGGGAAGTGCCGGGGAAGGTTACGATCGATGGGCCACACTACTCGAGCAGCCGTGCATTATTATTACTATTTTATTGTTATTATTATTATTTTACTATCGACGCGAAATAACACGTCGGTCGTGATGTGAAATGCGATTTTTCACCTTGATCACAATCGTAGTCTCGGCAACAGTGCGCAGCGTGCGCACACGCAGACCTCTCTCTCTCTCTTTCTCAATGAAGAGTCACTCAAGACTGGAGCGTTCTTCCTCTCAACGCCGCTCGCCTCACGAGTGATTCTCGCCCGTCTGCACCGACACTTCCGTGCCGATCATCATCGGGGCGACTGCGAGGACGCTCGCCGGCGTCGGCGGTAGCATCAACGGGGCCGGAACTGGCATCGACGGTCGCAGGCGCTCGGTCAGCGCCAGCATCACTTGGCAGTGCAGGTGTTGGATGGTCGCCAGTAGGTTGAGGTTGGTGTCGATCAAACCGGTAGCCGGCGAGAACCTCTCCCGCTCGGCGTTCTCCATCTCGTCGACGAGCGGTGTCGCGGCGTACCTCGGGTCGTTCTCGATAGGATTCAGGAGCGCGCTCGCCACCGCTGCCGCCGTCGCTGCGGCCTTGCTCTTCTCCGCCTGGAGCATCCTCTGCTGGTGCTTCAAGTACGACGTGGTGATAGGTCGGCTGTAGTCAATGGGTGTATTCTTGGTATCCAAGCCGGGACTCCAGGGCCTCGGCAACGGCTGATTCGGTTGCGGCGAAGGCGTCCGTCCCTCCGGCAGCATCCGCTTTCTCTTGGACGACGCGGAGCTCTTTGAGCTCGCTCGGTCCGACTCGGGCGTTCTTCTCGAGTCCGGTAGAGTGTCCGGCAGGAAGACACCGTTCACCGGTTCCTTCTTCAGTAGATTTGTAATGCTCAGCGGATTGTACTTCTCTTCTTTGTCCTTGTCGGGTTTCTCTGTCGCGATGCTGTTCTTGTGTTGCTTCTGATGCCTATAGCTGTGCAGATTCTTGCCGTCCGACGCCGTGGCGTGATGGTTATTGTCGCGCAACTTTGGACTGCTCTGCACCGACGTGGCCGACGAGGCCGCGAGAGCAGTCGTGTTGCCGCCAGCCGTTGGGTTAGGACTCAACGGAGTCACCGTCGACGTCAACGTCGTCGTCGTCGTCGACGCCGTGGACTGAGGCTGACTCGAGAGGTTCGTCGGACTCGGCGTCCGTGGACGGCGCTGGCACTCTGTGCAACCCAGTAGAAACCGCGTCACCGCTTCTCGCGGCAGGAACGCGTACGTCTCTGTGATCTGGAACAGAGAAGAAGAAAAACGCATTTCTCGTGACAGTTCGAACTGTGGATTTGCGATGCGCGTCGAAGATTCGACGCAAATTTTGAACGTGATGCGTTTGTTTCATTGTTAAGCCTTACAGTCCGCGCAGTTTTTTCGGCGTGACTCTTTTACAGTCTTTGGACTAAAACTTTTTCATATATATTTTAAAAGATAGACTAGTAAAAAACGTGATACCCTCGTCACGCCATTACAACGGCTTCCTGGATTATAAGGGCTGATTTGGACTATATAGACTCATAGGATACCAAAAAAATTTATTTCTTTACTTTTAGGAAATTGAAGTTAGGGGAACGAAATAAGGATGCGTGTTATAGTTGCTGTAACTTTCGTCGTTGAGTCTCTGGCGAAGGTGTGGTTCCCCTTTGATCTATTCTCTACATTTCTTGGAGCGCCATCTTCCTCAAAATGATTGAAAAGTGACAATATTTACACTCGGAGTAATAGTAAAAATATTCCCATATAAAATCGCAAAAGTAAATGTTTCCTGATCTAACTTAATTCAGATTTAAGCTTAACTAAATTCTGATTTCACATGAGCGAATATTTCAATTAGCTAGAGTGAATATGTTTCTGTGAAAGTAGAATACGTTAGATTTACTCTTGAATTTCGAATGAAAATGTTCACTTGGAAATTCAGAATGGAGGTTTTATACGAATGAAGAATCACTCGAAAATCGAGTGACTCGGTGGTCACTCCACTTTCCAAGTGAAATTTCACTTCGAAAAATTTAGAGAACAGCTTTTTACGATATAATGTAATTTTCGAACGTTAATTCTCTAACTTCCTACCGCCAATCTAAAAAGAGTATAAAATTTGCGGTCCGAAAGAACGAATTATTTTTGGCAGATAGAAGTTAGGAAAAAGAGACAAGGATGCGTGCAAATTGCCGTGAAACTTCCGTTGCTAGATCTCTCGTGAAAGTTCGATTCCCCTTCGATCTATTCTCTGCATTTCTTGGAATGCTATCCTCCACAAAACGAGTGAAAAGTGGCAGTATTCTCACTGGGAATGAGAGAAAATACTCCTGTTCAGAATCGCAAAAGTAAACGTTTCGCTTAAGCTTAAGTGAGTGTCGGTTCCCGTGTGACTTTCGCCGCGATAATCCTCTCTCGCGAGAGGGGTAGACGGTCGCGTCGCAAGGAAACGAGCAATCTCGCGCGCAAAGCTTTGGGATAATTACGGGCGGTCGGTGAGGAGGCGGCGGGTCGCGCGTTAATCGTGCGGCTTCAATAAGTCGTTAATCAGTGCCGCGAGCGCGCGACGGAGACATCGGGCGCACTGTCGCGCATTGATCCGACGCGGGTTTCTCGCCGTGTCTCACTTTGCGAGCGTCGTTACGTTCAAGCACCGGTCGGTCATCAGGCAATTAACTAATTCCATCTGCCCCGGAGGCGCCGCGCCCAGGCACACAGGCGCACGTTCGCGCGCGAAATGTACTGTACGTGTATATATATATATATATATATATATATATATATATGTGTGTGTGTGTGTGTGTGTAACGCAACCGCGCTATTGTCGATCGACGCGCATTAATGCGCGCGAACGACCGTTGTTCCCGCTCTCGGCGTACGTATCGCTGTCACGTGGCGCCGTTTTACGCGCGCGACGCCCACTGGGGAAAATTCATGAGCGGTATAACGGAACTTTGATGTCTTCTGCGAGGAGGTGTTCAGCCGGAGGGATGTTCTCCGCCTCTTAATAGGAAACGTTTCTCTCTGGAGGAGATGGAGGGGCGGCATAACTTAATCAAGGATGGCAGCCTCCGCGAGAGACCGACCCGATGGCTGTGATGTGTACGTGCGCGCGTATAACTGCACGCGCGCGCGCGCTCACGTGGGGTTGGTAATTTGATAAGATTTACCCAAGACTCCGCGGCGAGCTCGTGGGACGGCGAAAAAGAAAAGCGCGACGGGTAGGAAAGCGAGATAATGCACTTTGGATCGGCACGACGCAGCGGCGACTTACCGCGTGGCCACGTTGACGTTTCCGCGCTCGAGAGGTAGATTATACTCCGAGGGGCGACAATTACGTGGGAAGAAATACCTAGCGCAGTCGAGATGGTTTCTTTTTTCAGTCATGACCGTCGCGATAGACTCGGAGTGTACGCGGTGACCATTGGTTTGATGAACGTTAAATCGCAATATATGATCAAGGATCTCGAACACGTTCCATCTTTCATCTCTCATTCAATCGAAAAATGGAACTCGATGAATTTAGCGACGAATATAGAGTGACGTACGAACGAATTCGCGAGTAGAATTGCGGCTGCACGATTTTAATAAAATTATGCACCGAATCCATAAGCCTTGCAATGTTATTCCTCGAGCTCGCGCAGAAATCGACTCCCAACATGGCGCGACAAAATTACACGTGTCGTCGTGCGTACGTGTTAACAAGTTCGAACTGCCCAAGGTGAGCCGCGTACGTTTCGGTCAACTCGTGTAACCCCTTACACAATGTAATAGCGGCAATTCGAAATCCACCGTTCCGCGACTAGGCGGATCGAGTTGCGCAACGTGCACGCCCGCGTGACACATAACGCGGGCTCTTCTGGAGCCGATGAATCCCGCCGCCTAACGCCGACTTGAACGTAAAACAGTTCCACCGTCGCGCCAGCGCTCGAGTGTGTGAGTAAGCAGGCAATGCAACAAGTGTCCTGAGGTTTTGAATCACAAGCAGATCGCGGCCTGCGAGAAAGAGCGAGAGAGACGCGCGAGATAGAGAGAGAGAGAGAAAGAGAGAGAAGAGAGAGAATGGGAGGCCGAAGAGTGGGAGGGTGGTCGCAGGGGCCGAGGATAGAAGATGGAAAGAGACCGTGTACCGAGGATGTGAGTGTGAGAGAGAGGAGAGAGAGAGAGAGAGAGAGAGAAAGCAAGAGAACAGATATGATACCCCGGAGAGAGGTTTACGCGAATGCGCGCCGGAACATGTGAGATGACGTGTGGTATCGAGTGTTCGACGCTTGAACGCCTCGATGCCTTCCCTCGGGAACGGTAAATATCGCGTGTCGCGAGCAACCATGCAAGAATTCACCGCGCTCCGCCGATAGCACCCGAATTCGAAATTCGATCGTTCGCGGATCGACGGTTACTTCGGTGAACGCCGCTACGACTTACACGTGTTGAACCCAATTGGATACTGGATGCACCGTTTGCGCGCCAGGACGAGAATCGATACGTCGTCCTGCGAGGATGACGTATCGATATGCACTTAGACTTTAGAGCCGTGGACTTTTAAGCCTAATGAAGTGAGCGAACATCATTCGCTTCTCCGGCAGGATTCAGTGGGAGATCGTAGCGGCGAGATCATGGATTAAATATGAATCTGACAAAATCAATGACTATTTACCGTTCTGTAAGTGCGCTTCTGACCGGCATGCTTCCCAGGGCGACCCTCGAGATCGACGTGCACAGCATGGATGATGTCGAAGAAGTTTTCCACGATCGCGACCTTCTTGTACACTCTTCCAGGCGGCACTGTACCCTCAGCACCGTTCAACGCCTGTAAATGAAACGAAAAAAATGATAAGTGACGTGTTTATCACACTCTCCTTATGAATAATAGACTACGTGTTATAAAGAGATTATCTTGTCGTTAATAATAAGGAAACGACGATGCGCGCATTTAAAGATTCCTTTGTTCCATAACCCCAACAAAAAACCCCACGAGCGACTTGGAATTTAATGTTAAATTTCACGAATGCTTGTTTCGTGTCTTCAACAAAAGTTTTTGACACGAACTGATACCCATGTATGTACACAACATGTACAAACGCCACCTGCTACTACCCGAAGAGTGACTTCTACCTTCGGCTTTCTCAGTCGGAAAGGTTTACAGTTTCCTACCATCCCTTACCGACACACCAATCGGACAGCCCATTTTATCGATTACTGGCACACCACTACCTACCACTATGTCGCTACCGTCTACCGGTAAGGTAGATACCGTCTGTTATACGTTTGTTAAAAATTCGTAATCATAATCAGGTTATATTTTTTTATGCAGTTCCGTTTTTCGAATCGCAGTATCGTTTTTAACATTTTTACATTATAAACTGCAAAAAATAAGATTACATACATAAAATATCGATATATGATGTGCTACTTATTTTTCTCATATGTCGTCAATATTTCAAGAAAATGTGATTTCATGTTTTACGATTATTTACCTAACTGCGTTATGAAAAAGAAATATTCTTACGAGTTTTTTATCTCTTCTGTGATAAAATTACAGTGTCGGTAAGAATATATCAAAGAATCACGATATGCATATCCGCTATCGATTTAAATATTTACTTTCAAGATAAATAAAATATGTCGGACTGCGCGTGTTTCATCCGAATGATATCGTAGGGACCCAAAATTTACTTTATGACCATGTCCCACAGCAAGAGTACGTGATCTCGCCGGATGTTTTGCATCCCGGGTGTATTAGTGAAACTCCTCATCAACCGCGCAAGATTTGCTCATTCCCGTTGAGGCTGTCTCGAGCGGTTGAGAACCGCGGCGTCCTGCGTAATCTTAATTAATCTCGTCCTAAGTACCGGCATCGCCCGCGGGCATGGTCGCGGTCAGATTGTTCCGGCGAACTTTGCGACCTCAAGAAGTTCGGCGCGCATGCGCGACATTATTGTATTTCCCTAAACACCTGTTGAAGGGTAAAGTTGAACTCGTGGAGTTTAGTGCTTGGGCTAAGTGGCTGTGGTCAAGCGGGATAACAATAGCGACACCAAACTGACCATATTTGGTAGTCCAGCCGGCTCTCTCTCTCTCTCTCTCTCCCCTCTCTCTCTCTCTCTCTCTTCCGAAGAAAAATCCCGCATGCATCTTGGACGCGTTCACACCTCAACACGCCAGACGTGCTCGCGGTCGATTGACCTTTCTTTGTCCAAGAGCTCAAGCCACCGTCGTGGACGGTAAATTACGAATGATCGTCGAGGAAAGGAAAATTCATTAATCACACCGCCTGAGTCTGCGCTCCGGCCACGGATCGGAATACGCGACGCGCAGAATGAGAATAGATCGATCGGCCGGCCTTGATTATACGTTTCGCACGCGCATTTACTCGAAAATTTGCAGTCAGAGGTGAATAGACGGGAAGCCGTTTCATCGATGAGCATGCCTAGCCTAAACGCGGCATACCGACCGCCGCCTTCTGCCGGGCGTCGTCGACACGCAATGCGTCGGATCGGATAGGCGCACGAAACCGCAGCACGTGATGCCGAGATGCAAATTCGTCGCCCGTCCAGATCGACTGGCTCTCTTGTGCGAGTCTGAGACTGTTCCCTGTATTCTCGTCCCCGTTATTGAGGATACATCTGTAACTTCCGTCGCCGCGGATCCAGCCGAACTATCGGCTGGCTCTTTCACAGCAGAAGGATCTCGCGAGCCCGATGCCAGCCCGCCCTCTCCGCCGCGGTTTCCGAAATATCCGCTTTAAAACGAAAAGAGCGATACCGGAGTTAATTTCGGGAACGTAATTTACCGACAGGCGTAATTCGCCGAAAAAGCGGCGCGCACGAGTTCTAAACTGAATTCAATTCGGCGCCGTCGAGCTCGGATATATACACACTACTATTTTATTAGATCGTGTTACGCGGGAGCGTACACGTACAAATTCGGTTATAATTTATTTTTTTCGCAATTACGCGCCTGTGTGTATATGTATATACGTGCATACACATATGCATTTACACATATATATATATATATATATATATATATATATATATATATATATATATATATATATATATATATATATATCTGCACATTTATTCGCGGGAGTTAATAATCCGCGAGCGGCAAAAGCGGAACTTTCAGACACGACCAACGTCGAGTGATGCATCAGCGGGCTGAAACGCGGAAGTGCGTGCGTGCGCGCACATAAGCGCAATAGGCGCCTAACCAGAGGGGCTCAAAGGACCATCGGGGATAAATTTAGCCCTTTACCCGAGCCGCCCTCGGTGGCGCGTTACACGGACAAGCTAATTAAGCATCACGCGCGCCCTACCTTTACTCACGGCATATCTGCGTCAATGATTAGACGACGATCAGCCGATGCATCAGTGCCCGCTGAATCAACATCCTCTCGGTCAAAGAGTGCGCGTGCGCGCTCTCACGCGCGCAACCAGTTTCATCGGTCCCGTCGAATTGGACGGGAGAGTTAAGAGAACTCGGCTCTCGTTCGTTCTCTCTCTCTCTCTCTCGCTTCTGCGAGCAACCCCTCCGAGACGAGAGCGAAGCGACCAAGGAGAGGCCACCCCGCGGCGCTCGCGAGACTTTCGAGAGCGCTCGATCTCATGAGAGAAACGCGCGAGTCTTTACTTCGATCTTGAATCCTTTTTTCCGATATGGTGCGATACGATGGGATAGCGCGAGGCGATAATCGGCCGGCCGCGATAAAATGTTCAGGAGAAAAAGCGCAATTGCCCGAGGGGTGAAAATAATGGTTGAGTGGGAAAGGGACGCACTTGGCTCGCAGTACCGGATCCGATGTCTGGAAATGTTGAAGATCGTGTCGAAAGAGAGAGAGAGAGAGAGAGAGAGAAGGGAGGGGAACAGAGAAATGAAGAGAGGGAGAAAGGGAGAAAACAGTACAATCTCCTTTATCTGATGAGAGAGAATTTAAAAAGGAAAACCGGATACTTTACGAGACGTAAAACGTCCAAAGCAACTAATTTATTCTACATTCGCGCACACACACACACAGAGAGAGAGAGAGAGAGAGAGAGAGAGAGAGAGAGAGAGAGAGAGAGAGAGACGAACGAGACGGCAGCAAGTTTTCGTAGCGAGCCTGCGCGGAAGATTGAAGAATAATCGAAAAAAATTTCAAGAAAAAGGAAATTCCTTCGCTCACGTTAACGGGGCTGTCAGATAGCGAAACGAGGATTACGTACCCGTCCGTCCGCTTATCTCGAAACTAATAGATCATAAGATAACGCGAGAGAGGAACCAGAAAAATGAAAAATTCGACGAGACGGCATATTCCAAGGGACACAGAGCGATAAAAGTCCTGCAGTAACGTGAACCTACGAGACCATCCCGTACACGAGAGTGTGATTAAGAGACCAGCAAACTTAACTGAACCCAACCGATATTATCGATTTTGATCGCTCAAGCTCCCTTCATCAGCTTACCGTCCGCGGTGCTTACTTGATCGAGGAAAAAAGCAGACTCTGAAGAGGCATAAAGAGCGAACGTGCACAGACGATACGAGACGATACGAGACGATACGAGACGCGAAAGAACGACGCGTCGGAGGGACGCGTCCTCCTCCCCGTGCGCGAGCAAGCAGAGACGGTCCAGAATAGAAACGCGTCAGCGTCGCCATAAATCCCTATGAGGCGCGCGCGAGACTTGGCAGGGCCAAGTTTGCGGGGTGGCCCGGCATGGTGCGACACGACGCGACGCGACGCAACGCAACGAAATCCGGGTACAGCGGCTGTTTTAAAGCCCCCGCGGACCGCGGGCGAGTTTGCATTTTAAACGAACGCCGCCGTTGCCGCCGCAGCGCAATGCCGAGGGGAGAAAACAGCGCGACACGGCGCGACCGACGAAGCGGATTAAAAAAATTCACGAGGGAGCCGCCGTTCGGCGCCGGTGCGCGCGCGGGGGTGGATAGCGCGTGAATCGGAGGAGAGAGAAAGAGAGAGACAGAGAGCGAGCAGTCACATGTACCGGGTGGCCCACACGGACCTGCCGGTGTGGATGCCAGGTGATCGGGTAAAACAGCGCGAAAGAAACTGCGAAGAAGAGCGTTCGCGGGGAAACGGCATCTCCGACGTCGGCGACGAGCAACTTTCGAATGCTTCCGCTCTCGCGAGATATCGGCGAGGTATCTGAAAGTCTTGCGATTAGCGTGTGCACGCGCTCGGTTTTCACCGTCGACGAGCGCGTCGTTGGCACGCGTGAAAGACAGAGAAAGGGAGAGGCGAGAAAGGTTGAGTCGCGAGGTCGACATTCCCCGCGCCACGAGATTCGATAAATTGTAACTTGCCGTCGGCGTCGAGTCGCGCAGAACACACAATCACTCTCAAAATTATTTTCCCTAACCGACTAGCTAAAAATTTACCCTATAATCCTGATCAAGTTGATCCCAAGGCTGGTTTGTAGATAGCGATATTATTGGCTTTCCGATAGGTCACACAAGAAAAAAAGTTCAACTGCTAACAAAATCTGATTGACTTGAACTCTAGTAACTCGAATTTCGGTAACTTCAGTCGGAATTTTCTAGTTCGCATCTTCCCAAAAATTTGGTTAACCAACCAAAGGTTTTTCCCGTGCAGCGTAGCAATCAGGACCTTATTGATAATAAGGATTATTAACGATGAAGACCTTGTTAATAACTATAAGACTCGATTGCATCACCTTACACGAATAATTCTTGACTGGGATCAAACTGATGATAGGAATTTGGGGTAAACTTGTGGTCAGGCGGCGGCCGTTTCGTAATCGTTTTAGCCGACGAATTGTTTTCCGTATAATTATCTTCACCGACGT